TTTTGGAATGGTAATATATATTACCATTCTGTGACATTGTATGTTGGAAGTATGTAATTTGCTGTTTTCAGTTTTATTTTACAAGGATTTATAGTTAGCAGACTGTCTTAGCAAAGACTCTGGACTTTAAAGCAGTATTGAGACTGGGCGACTATGAGCGCTTTGGAATTCAGACTAGATGCATTTTGCGTTATGATATGGCCATGAGACGGTGTGTGTGTGTGTGTGTGTGTGTATGTGTGTGTGTCTGTGTGTGTGTATGTGTGTGTGTCTGTGTGTGTGTATGTGTGTGAGTGTGTGTGTATGTGTGAGTGTGTGTATGTGTGTGTATGTGTGAGTGTGTATGTGTGAGTGTGTGTGTCTGTGTGTGTGTCTGTGTGTGTGTCTGTGTGTGTGTGTCTGTGTGTGTGTCTGTGTGTATGTGTCTTTGTGTGTGTGTCTGTGTGTGTGTGTCTGTGTGTGTGTCTGTGTGTGTCTGTGTGTGTCTGTGTGTGTGTGTCTGTGTGTGTCTGTGTGTGTGTGTCTGTGTGTGTGTGTCTGTGTGTGTGTCTGTGTGTGTGTCTGTGTGTGTCTGTGTGTGTGTGTCTGTGTGTGTCTGTGTGTGTGTGTCTGTGTGTGTGTCTGTGTGTGTGTCTGTGTGTGTGTCTGTGTGTGTGTCTGTGTGTCTGTGTGTGTGTCTGTGTGTGTATCTGTGTGTGTGTGTCTGTGTGTGTGTGTCTGTGTGTGTGTCTGTGTGTGTGTGTCTGTGTGTGTCTGTGTGTCTGTGTGTGTGTGTCTGTGTGTGTGTGTCTGTGTGTGTGTGTCTGTGTGTGTGTGTCTGTGTGTCTGTGTCTGTGTGTGTCTGTATGTGTGTGCCTGTGTGTGTCTGTGTGTGTGTCTGTGTGTGTGTCTGTATGTGTGTGTGCGTGCGTGTGTGTGTGTGTGTGTGTGTGTGTGTGTGTGTCTGTGTGTGTGGTGAGGAGAGACAGGGAGTACAATGTGATGGTTTGAATGAGATGCCAATCATATTCTCAGGCATCTGAGTCCTTGCTGCCCCGTTGGTGACAGTTTTGGGAGACTTAGGAAGTGTGGCCTTGCTGGAGAAAGTATGTCATTGGAGGAGGACTTTGAGAATCCAAGGGACATGCGCCACTCTGAGTCTCCCCTCTCTGCCTGCTGTTTATGGCTCAGGATGCGAGCTCCCAGCCGCTGCTTCAGCTGCCTGCCACCGTCATGGACTGCTGTCACTCTGGAACCAGAAGCCCGAAATAACCCCTTCTGTCTATAAGAAGCCTTGATTGTGGATGGCTTACCAGTGTGACAAAAAGTAATTAAGACAGAAATTGATACCAGGGAGTGACTGCTAACTGTGAAGGACCTGACCACATTGGGTTTTTTTGTTGTTGTTGTTTGTTTGTTTGTTTTTTGTTTTGTTTTGTTTTTTGAGAAATACTGAAGGTTTTGTGACTTTGAAATAAAAAGGTGTTTGAACACTGTGAGCAGAGCTTAACAGGCCGTCCTAGCAGGAATTCGGAAGACAATGGTGCTGAGAGCTTTGTGGAACATGGAGTTCCCCTGAAGAGGTTTCAGAGGGGAGCAATACTAGCACTGGGCTAGAAAGCATTCTTGTGACATTTTGGTAAAGAATGCGGCTGTTTTCTGCCCACATCCAAAGAACTTGTCTTAGGTTAAATTAAAAAGTAATACAGGGGGCTGGAGAGATGGCTTAGAGGTTAAGAGCACTGACTGCTCTTCCAGAGGTCCTGAGATCAATTCCCAACAACTACACGGTGGCTCACAACCACCTATAATAGAATCTGATGCCCTCTTCTGGCCTGCAGGTATACGTGCAGAGCATTCATATTCATAAAATATAAATACAATAAAAATCTTTTTTTAAGTAATACAGTAATTTCTTTGACAGAAGAGATTTCAAGACAGCATGTTAACTCTGTCACATGGCCATTGGTAACCACTCTGTGCAAGTCAAAAATGAAAAGGCCCAAAAGAGACAGAAAGAAATACAAAGTGTACAGTTTGGAGAGGAAAAGGACACTGGCGAGCTAAATATTACCACAAGGCCAGTACTGGAAGAGGGGCTATAATTGCTTCATTCAGAATTGTATTAGAATAAAGGGCAGGGATACCCAGGGCAAGACCCCACCCAGCTAAGCTTCCAACCCGTGAAAAGAAAATGCCCAAGGATTTTCTTTTCTATCCCATACTGGCAGCTGAACTTGGTAGTGTCATCCATGTGGTGCTAGCTTTGGGGTCATGCAGAATACAGGAGTAATGGGGTTATTTATGGAATCTTCCTCCACAGGCAACTGCAGAGGCCAGGTGCATGGCAGGGGAGACCCTGCATGGAAGCCTGAGATGCCATTGTGACACTGGAAATGACGACTGAGTGGTGTTGGAGACTACAAGGTGTTAGAGGTGTCAGAATGGGCGAGGCATTTGCCAAGGAGAGCTGCGCACAGCGAGTGGATCCGGCCCTAGAGAGTGAAGTGTTTTACCAGCAGCACGCCTGCAGAGACAGAGCCACGTAAGCCCTTTGGTGCTGCACTTGGAATGACAGGGCTAGCGCCGCAAGTTACCGCCATCTGCTTTTTAAATTCGAAAGCAACTGACAGGCCTTCAGACTTACAGTTGCATATGTTAGTGACAAGGTGGGGGTAACTGGGACTTTGGTACACTGGTGATGAGGACGGAAAATGGAGCTGCCAGTTCAGAAGGAAATGTCTTTCAGTTCATAGTTAAACATAAAGTGACTGTGTGACCTCGAAATTCTGCTCCAAGGTCCATTCTGTGCTGCTGCAACGTCTTATTTGAGGTTGAGTAATTTGAAAACAGGGGAGGAGCACTTAGCTTCCATCTCTGATAGCCAAAGTCCAAGGTTGGGCATCCTGGGTATTCCTGCTGCATCGCCATCACTTGCGAAAGCAGAAGGGCAAGCGGCTGTGCTTTGAAGAGGAGACGCACAAGGGAAAGTTTGCTTGAAAGACCTCTGGTGACCACCCAGCCAATCCCTCAAGGATCAGCTGATCCTGGAGGAAAGCCACTGATCCCTCTTACTGTCCTAATTACCGCCTTTAAAAAACAACTTAGCAGTGTCACCGGAATAGCAATCAAATTCTGAGATGATTTTGAGGAGATAAACTATATTCAAAGGATAGTGATTGCTGAGAGACTTGAAGATACATGTTCACACAAATATTCCAGCAGCATTGACCATAAAATCTAAAATGTGGAAACAATTAATATGTCCATCAACACACATACATATAAACAAGCTGTGGTATATCTGCATAACAAATATTACTCACTCAGAAAAAGCTGTTTATGTTTTCATCAGTCTTTCAAAATAAACGTGTTCATACTGAAAAGGCCAGAAACTCCTATGGTGCTTAGTAGAAATATTTTATATAAAAAAAGGTACGTAAGACTTTTGCATATAGAAAATTACTTTCAAGTCTTGTATTTCATGAAGAAGGCTGTAGGAAGAATGAAAAGGGGCCTGTTTAAAGCTTTCTGATGGCATCTGAATTATTGTAACCCAAGACCAGTCATTTAACGTGCAGGGCCTGGAGGTCTATCACCTCTAACAGGCAATGGGGTAATGCATAAAGCTTGTTGAGGAACTGAAGTGGGAAGTCCTTCTGTGCGCTTCGAATACGTGTTGGTTTTATTGGTTGATGAATAAAGCTGTTTTGGCCTAGGGCAGAATATAGCTAGGTGGGAAATCCAAACAGAGATAGAGAAAGAAAGAAGGCGGAGTCAGGGAGACACCATGTAGTCACAGGAGGAGCAAGACGTGAAGGAGCAAGCCACAAGCATCGTGGAAAAATATAGAATATTATGCACGGGTTGATTCATATGTAGAGCTAGTCAGTAATATGCCTGAGCCATTTTCCAAACAATTGTAACTAATATTAAGCCTTAGAGTGGTTATTTGGGAACTGGCAGGCGGGACAAGAACTGGGCTGCAGAGACCTCAGGCGGGAGAGAAGCTGGTCCAGTGGGACAGGACCAGACAGAGAAAAACCTCCAACTCCAAGGAGCACGTGGCTCATGGGACCCTCTCCATCCATTCACGTGCCTATTAGCACATCACAGAGAGGCTGAGAGACAAGGACTCAAGGGTGATGGATGGGTCAGTTATACAGAAACAAAAGACAGATGGGGAGAAAAGCCTTTGCTTTTGCAAAGAAATACATGGGAAATGGGCACTCTCAAATGTGGAGGTAAATTCTATTCTGCCATGCAGGGTGGTCTACAGGTTCATTTGAAGTTGAAGCTACACATTCATGGAAGCAGGTGAGAGAGCTGAGCTCTTAGCGTGTATCAGCCCTGGATCATGCTGGCAGATGGAGGAGAAACGAGGATTAAGCCCGAGCCTACCCATCATGCTTGCATAGCAGCACTATTATTAAAAGAGCAAACGGCATGGGCGAAGTGGGCAGACACCAAGAATGGAACAGAGGCTAGCAGACCCGAAACCCCGCCTAGCTGCACTGTTTCTCCAGCTCTGAGTTCATCCCATGAGCTCGCCCCACTCCGGAACTTGAAGGGACAGCCTTAAGGCATTCGTCACACTCACTTGCTACACTCAGACACTGACAAGTCCAACCAGCACTGCTTATAGAATACATCCTCAGTGCGTTCCATTTTCTGTCTCTGCTGCTGTCTTCCCAGACCATTCTCCAGCATCTCTCTCCGGGAGCATGGCAAGGGGGATTCTGCCGAAACCCACAGAGCTACACAAAGCCAGTGTGGCCTTCACCATGGCAGCACAGACCCAGAAGGCAAGAAGGGCATGGGGAGGGGAGATGTCTGTCCCAGTCCTTCCTTTACATAATGTTATGGCCCTAGAACAGTGGTTCTCAATCTGTGGGTCCTGAGCCCTTGGGGGCTAGGGGGTCAAATGACCCTATCACAGGGGTCACCTAAGACCATTGGAAGACCATTGGAAAACACAAACATTTAGGTTACAATCCACAACAATAGCAAAATTACAGTCGTGAAGTAGCAATGAGATAATTTTATGGTTGGGGGGTCACCACAACTTGAGGAACTGTATTAAAGGGTCGCAGCATTACAGAGGTTAAGAACCAGTGTCCTAGAGGAAGCTGTGGAAATACAAGATGTCTTTTGTTTTTGGTGGGGCGTAAGAAGACAAGCTCTTGACCCGATTGTCAACACTTCCTCAGTGGGTACTGACAGGGACAGCAGCAACTAAGGTGGCCCCTGTCTGGTATCTGCTTCCTAAACAGGGCACAGCACTGTAGACACACACAGGATGGCAGAGGACAAGGGCACTATTGTGAACTCATAAGAGGCTCTCTGCCCTGGGGCTCCTTGAAATAATTTGGGAAGTTCTGAGGGGCAGAGCTGGCAAGCAAAGTCAAAAGACAACTCCATCTGGCTTTGTGCGGCTTCATTCGTATGCACTGAGTTGAAAAAATTGCGACTATCATTTGGTTTCTAAATATAGCACATGTGAACGCCGTGGGTGGTAGAATAATGAAAGATTCCCCCACTCTTCTGAATGGGTTCTGCAGCTTGTAATTTTGCTTGGAAGGAACAGATAGCACTCTTATAACGAGAAAAATCCATGTTTTCTCCTGTTGAAATGACGAGATTCTTGAGATCGGGCGTTTTCAGTAGGGAGTCAGAGAAATGGCCCAGCATGGTCAGTAAGATGCCAAGGGATGAGCTAGCACTGAGAAGTGACAGGCAGCGTGGCAGGCCACGGAGGTGACATGAGTGGGAAGCTCTGCCCCTTCACGGTTGCTATGGTTTCCCAGCCTTCGTATTAGTCATCCTTTCAATCGGAGAAACCGAGTCTCAGAGGCCCTGGAAGACTGGAGGGGGGGCAAGTGTTCCGTGACTTGTGGGCACACGCCTGGTGTGGGGAAACGGTTCAAGTCTGGGTTGTGTTATCTGTTGTTTCCTTATGGTTGCGTGAGATGGGTGTTCTTTGTACCTCTGCTTGTACACTGTGTGTCCTCCCTGGGCTCCTGAAAGGGCTAGAAAGCCTAGTGGTGTGGGAGTTCTGCTTGTATTTTTAGGTGTGTGTGAGAGAGAGAGAGAGAGAGAGAGAGAGAGAGAGAGAGAGAGAGAGAGAGAGAGAGAGAGAGAGAGAGAGAGACCGGAACTTGCCATTTCAGCCAGAAAGGCTGGCCAACAAATCTCTGAAATTGTCCTTTCTCTGCCCCTCCACAGTGAGGACAGACATGCACTTCACACCCCCAGATTTTCACACGGGTCCTGGGGGTTGGACTCTGGTCCTCAAGCTGCGTAGCAGGAGCGTCTCTTCACACGCGGCGCCGTCGGCCTTGCCAGTGCTGGCTGCCTCCAAAAAGATTTTCACACGGGTCCTGGGGATTGGACTCTGGTCCTCAAGCTGCGGAGCAGGCGCGTCTCTTCACACGAGGCTCCATCGGCCTCGCCAGTGCTGGCTGCCTCACCTCTGCCGCTGCCTCCAAGGTTCAGGATTGCTCTGGAGATGAGATGCACTTCCTGTGCAGTGGGACTTGAGCATCCAATGGGAGCAAAGCAGGAAAATGTGAATTGAATTTCTCTTAAATTGGGCATAAATCAAATAACATGACCTGTAGTGATATATTATTTATGATTTATTAAAGCTTGACTGAGAATTCAGAAAAGCAAAGTCGGCCTCAAGCTATAGAGCCAGGCAGTGGTGGCACACACCTTTAATCCCAGGACTCAGGAGACAAAGCAGATGGATCTCTCTGAGTTCAAGGCCACCCAGGCTTACACGAGATTGAATCTGTCTAAAAGAGTAACAGAGATCATGCCTTTAATCCCAGGACTCATGAGAGGTATTTAAGACAAGAACAAAGTCAGCATGAGGCATTCATTCTCCAGCCATGCTGAGGAGAGGATACAGTCTGAGGCTTGGTGAGAGCTCCTGGAGACAGGATCAGCCCATTCAGCCTGAGGTAGAGGTAAGAAGTTAGTGTCCAGCTGCTTTGCTTTTCTGATATTCAGTCTGAAGCTTGAACCCCAATATCAGTCTCTGGGTCATTTATTAATTCATGTTACAATAAACTAATGTTAACATTTGCTTAGGTTTTCTGAAACTCAGACCTTCTATATAAAAAAAGAATACGCTGGTATCTTTTTAATGACCATCAAAGAAAGTTTGCTTGGGGAGTTAGGCTGTGTGGGCTTGGTGTTATGAGCTTGGCACAGCTCACTTCTGACACAGGAGCAATAGTGCATCTGGGGCTGGAAAACTGTTGCATTCACTATGTATGTGTGCACGGCAGTCTGGGTGGAAGGAGTGTGTCGTGTGTCATGTCTTCCTCTGGCCCCGTTGTGTTTATTCCAGATTGTACGAGTCCGCCGGCTGACGTTCTCAGAGGCTGCAGTCAATGGATAGTGAGTGTCATCGGGCTATGAAGCCACGTCATCAGACTTCTGCACAGAGCGCCTGGCCGTGGAAGTGGAAACCGCCAAGCCCTGCCACTCAGTGGAGATGGGGACAATAGTGGCATAAAAGGCCACTGAGTGAGTGATCTGGTGACAGCAGCTGTTTGTACTCTAACAGCACAAGTAGAGGCAGATTAGGGTTCGCTGGCTTTCCAAAGGCCTCCCCACCATGTGCAAGATAGGAGTGGCACCACCCAGGTCCACCTCAAGGCCGGACACACTGCCCAGCTGTGGAACTGTGGTCAGTATGTGACTGTTAGCATCTGTCTCACCAGGGCCTACCTCAGCTGCACAGAGCCTCATCACTGGGGGTCACACCTTTCCCAGGCAGCCCATGCTTCCACACCTTGAACAAGGGGTTATAAAGAGCTAGACACGGAATTCTGTCAAGGACAGGCCACCACGTCTCAAAACCCCTGCTTGGCTTAGCTAGGCCCCGAGCACTGCGGCTCTTCTTCATGACCTCCCATCTTGTGCTGCTTTAGTCAGGAGGCCACTCCAGATGAAGCCAAGAGGGTCTGTAAGAGGAGACGCGTCATGGAGGCAGAGTGGCCCCATAACTGGCTATCTGCAAGCTAGGGGTCCTGAGGTGTCAGCGATGTAGCTCAGTTTAAATCCCAAAGCCTTGGCATCAGGGAAGCCAATGGCGTAACCCCCAGTCGGAAACACAAGACTCAAGAGCTCTCTGGGGCCACAGGCACAAGCCCAGAGGCCAAAGGCCAGGGAACCTGGAGCTCGGATGTTCAAGGGCAGAAGGAAAGGGCCCTCCACCCCAGGAGAGGAGAAGGAGGACAGAGCTCATCCCTCTGTCTTTCTGTCTCTACCCAGGCCCAGGCCAGCCTACATGACAATGGCAAGCCCCCCCCCCCCAACTGCAGGGAACAGTTATCTCTGAAACACCCTGCAGACTACTGTGCCTCCCCGTGCAGCCAAGCTGATTCCAAGAGTAAACCATTACAGGCTCCAAGACCCCTCCTGATTCCTGGCTTCTGGAGAACTCCGTCTCCATTATCCTGTTAACATAAGATAAACTTTGTGGTTATCTTATGAACTGAGAATTACTTCCCGCTTTAACAAAGAAACCTGAGGCTCAAGGGTCAATATTCATGAAGCAGGAGGATTAGCACCAGGGAGGTAGGAGGTTGTGGAGTCAGGAGCAGACTTGCCCGCCCTGTTTACTGCAGTCTCCTGTCTTCCCTGCACCGCTGTAGTCTCCTCTACATTTTTCAGTGTCTCTGGTCAAGTGTGGTGGCAGCACATCTTTAATCCCAGCACTCAGGAAGAGGCAAGCAAAGGCGATTTTTGAGGTCAGACTAGTCTGCAAAGCAAGTTGTGGGTCAAGCCGGGTTACATAGAGAGACCCTGTCTCAAAAGACCATCAAAAAATACTTTGTGTTTTAGTGATTATGGTTTTATATTTCTTTTCAGTCTCTTGGCTATGCTCATTTCTCTCTTCAGCCCAAAATGTTTTACGTAACTATAATTAGGGAAAGAAAAAAAAGAGGCCATGGATTTGAAAATAAGGAAGGGTGTTTTGGAGGGAAGGAAAGGAAATGATGCAACTGTATTATAATCTCAAAAAATAAAAAAATAATTTAAAAAAAAAATATTTAAAAATTAAAACCAGCAAAACATTTTGGAGGGTCTTGATATATGCTAATAAATTTTCATACGATCAGATGTGCTGGTAAAATGGTGTGGGTAGTATATTGAGTAAGAAGAGAACACTTCACAGCAATAAATATCGAGGAGGGAAATTAATCTCACTGGCTGGACACTAAGTGCCATGCAATCTACATATAACCGCACTCCACAACGATGATGGCTGGTATAGGGGTGCTGGACCATAGCACATGCTGCGCACTGTATGTCCCGGGCCATCACGTCACCAGAACCGGGCCTCCAGTACCCCACGGCTACCGTGCTTCAGACTCGCCATTCTTCTGTCACTCAGGCTGCAGAGCTGTGCTTCCGAGCCCTCAGAAGACTGTTCGTGTACCCGGGGCAGTCCCGCTCTGCTCCCGAGCCTGCTCCCGAGCCTGCGAGCCTGCGAGCCTGCTCCCGAGCCTGCGAGCCTGCTCCCGAGCCTGCTCCCGAGCCTGCTCCCGAGCCTGCTCCCGAGCCTGCTCCCTCACAGGCCTTGCTGCACCCGGCTTCCGCCCGTTGGCCCACTCTTCCAGCCGGTCATCTGGAAACATACCTCAGACCTCAGAGAGGCACTTCCGGTCTGTGTGTGTTGTCATGTCTCGCTGGCTTGGCGCTTGGCACCTGGCAGTTTTCTGTGGCACGAACCTTCTTCTTTTGGCACAGTGTGTCCTCCCAGGTAACCCTCGATCTCTCCCCTGTGAGGAAGATTCACATTGTCTCCCCCACACACACTCTCAAGCATTTCCTCGTGTCCCCAGCCTCAAATGGTTCCTTAGTGTAACACTCAATTCATTATTGCAAAGTCTGTGGACACGTTAGTCTCCTTACTGGCACCCTGCGAGCCCCTGGGGACAAAGCCGTGTCTTCTGCAAAGCTGTGTCCGGAATCCTGCACTAAGGCAGTACTAGTAACCCTTCATGGTTGAATGCATGCATGCATGAGTGAATGAATGAATGAATGAATGAACCAACGAATGAGTGGGTACCAGATCTGACTCTCTAGTTGACTCTGGCAGGAGAAAACATTCTCAAATACTCTGGCCCCACCCTTGCAGCAGCCCCGGCCACAAGATCTTATCTGAAGTCTGCCTCTGCCTCTGCCTCTGTCAATCTTTCAGCATGACGTGAACTTCAGGGACCCACTGGTAAATCATTTGCAACAGCCAAAGGGCCTTTTGGAGAATGAGTCACTTGGTCCCCGCATGCACAGGCTGGTGACCCGCAGAGAGTTTGTCTACAGACACCTTTGTGGGCAGCCATTTGATTTCCTGAGCACGGGAAGGACTTTATTTCAGATTCCAAACTTTATTGCAACTTCTGAGTGACTGCCCTGACCCCACTCGTAACCTCGCAGCACTTACGGTGATTCATCTCTTCAGGAAACCGTGCATCCCCTGGGTCTGCCCGATGATGCAGGGTAAGGAATGCTGGGCATGGGGAGACAAAAGGCCTCCTTCTCATTTGCAGTCTCCCAAGTGGCCTACGAGAAATATTTCCTGTGTTGCTGGACTCCGCAGCCACAGAGCCGAATGCCAAGAAGCTGCCCCCAGAGCCAGCCCGACAAAGTAGATGGGCTCATTGCCTCCCAGGAAGCCATGCTTCCCAGGGGCTTCCAAACCGCTGTGATGTGAAAGCTCTCTTCGTGCAGGAACCAGCACAGCTCGCTTTCCGAAATTATGAAAGATGAGCAGCGCGGTGCCCTTTAAAGCTGAAAAACTCTGTGATTATTTCAACGTTTTAATTAAAAGATTCTGTGCAGATCATATTACGGAGTTCGGTGAGTTGTCTCAAAAGCACACAGGGTACTGAATTCTCAAATTAGTTGCCCAAATTTGCCAACTCTCAAGCCTCAAAGGAAGTAAAGCTCACTCTATGGTAGGGCTTCTCTCCAGGCTTCTCTGCTCTTCCAGGGAGAGCCACGCCCACGCCGCTTGCTTGTTATTTGTTTAGATTTGTTTCGTGTCCCTCTCCCAACGGGAATGTCGGGCGGGCGCCTGAGTGGAGTTGTTGGGTTTGTTGTTGCTGTGGGCTGGCATCTCCACAACTGGAGCAGAGTTTATGCCCTGAACGAATGCTTCCTGGGTGCATTCAGACACTGATTAAGAAGACTGGTCTGTGAGAAGCTCAGGCTGGAAAGGGTGGCTCAATGGTTAAGAGCACTTGCAATTCTTCCAGGGGACCCAGGTTCAATTCCCAGCACACACACACAGGCTGGCTCACAACCACTATCACTCCAGTCCCCTAGTGACATAATGCTTTCTTCTGGTTTCTGTGGGCATCAGGCATGCCCATGATTCACAGACCCAAACGTGGAGACAAACACCCATACACAGAAAATAATGAAATAAATTTTTAAAAACTTAAATTTGATAAATTTAAAATAAGAAAGAATGTCACAAGGAAGACTATTTTTGAGATTTTCCCCAAACAGAAAATAGTAAGCATTGACAAAGTTGTCAAAAAATTGGAATCCATATGCACCACAGGCCGGAATGACATGTGAGGCAGCCACTAAGGAAAACAGCACGTCCAGCACGCCATTTCCTCAGAAAGGTGAGCAGAATTGCAAGTGAGCTGGTAATGGCATAGGAGAATGGAAAGTGACCCTCCCAGAAGCCTTTGCCTACCTGTGCTCACAGCAGTGTCACAGTAGGGTCATGAGGTGGCCCCTGTCCATCCTGAGTAAGGAGAATTGACGGTGCGGACACACAACACAAAACATTTTTCAGTCTTTAGAAGGAAGGCCCTTTCCGTTTGTGCTACCTCATGGGTGAAAGCAGCCAGACACACGGACAAACACCGTGTGACTGTTCATTCAGTGTACCTGGACTGGTCAGGGCTACAGAGGCAGAGAGGGGAGTGGTGGCAGTCACGAGCAGAGAATGGGAGGTGGCCGTTTAATAGGCACAGCAGTACAGCTGGGCGAAAGAAAGTTCTAGACTGCCAGCAGCAAGGCCTGCGCAGCAATATGAACATTCTTAACTTGGTGTCACAGCAATATAATTATGCATCGCTTAGTGTCATAGCAATATAAACATGCATAGCTCAGCGTCACTGAACTTCATGTTTCAAATACTTAAAATGGTGAATGCGTGCTTATGCTTTTTTTTCATGATGAAACCTAAAATGTATATAAAACACAGTGAGTGGCAGTCCACAGAAACTAGAGGCAACTAGTGATGCTTCTGTCCCAAAGAATTCCAGAGAACCTTCCTTAAACCTCTCAGGGCATAGATTACAGAGCCTCCAGCTTGGAGGTCTTGTCACCTGTGTGAGCAGGGGTTTTCCTGTGGGGAGAAAGAAGCAGAAGGAGGAAGAGCCGCGCCCTTTCCTACAGTGTGCTGGGTATGCGCCCACGACACGTGACAGTGAGCCGGTGACGTCACCCTGCCTTCTCACAGCAATCCTAGGTTTGCAGAAGAACCCAAGTCCCACAGAAAGGTGAAATAGCCCACTTGGGCTGTGGGCCTTTTTTACTGAATATCTCCCACGAGCTGGGAACAAGCTGGCGGGGCTGTCTCGTGGAGAAGGAGGCCGTAAGCAAGGATCCAGAGTGGCACGTGACTGGAGGGAACGTATGCCTTAGAGTGGTCCCACAGCTGTGAGAGGCTGGGCTAATGAAAGTCTAGGGTGTCCAGAGAGAAAGCTGAAGAGTTGGATGGAGGCAAGGTAAGGAAGATCCTGCAATGCATTATGGGCCAACCTAAGTATTTGGCTTGATTCTTTTTTTGTTTTAGTTTGTTCATGTATTTTACATCCCAACTTCAGTTTCCCCTCCCTCCTTCCCTCCCATTCCCTCTCCACTACCCTCCCTCTGCCTGCCTCATCCTCTCCTCTTCTGTTTCTCTTCAGAAAGGGGCAGGCCTCCCATGGGTGTCCACAAAGCATGGCATATGAAGTTGAGGTAGGGCTAATCTCCTCCCCTTGTATTAAGGCTGGCTGAGGCAACCCAGTATAAGGAATAGGTTCCCAAAGCCAGCCAAAAGCACTAGGGACAGGTTCTGCTCCCACTGCTAGGAATCCCACAATCTGGCTTGATTCTAGGCAGCAAGACCCCTGGCAGGGCTTTAAAGGGGGCAAGAGTTGGGAGCCATGCTCTGGTGCCATGCTCTGGAGAATGGGTTAAAGGAGGGCGGGATGTGTGAAAGGCTCTCTCTAAGGACCAGCACACTCTGCATCATCTGTCTCCAGGGATCTTCATCTTTTTCTCAACAGAAAGCCGTGGCATGGGTTTACTTCCCCATCATCTATGAGCAATACTCACCTTCCAACAAATGCTCCATGAATCCCATAGACCATTCACAGCCTACCTGAATGCTGAGCTTCCTGGGACGCTGCACCGGGAGCGTTTAAGAAACTGGGCAATGAGTGTGGACTGAGAAGTGAAGTCTAAGAATGGGGTTCTCTGGAGCTGCACTTCTGAGGTGGATTGCAGTTGCTACCAAACGCCATGTCACAGCTGCAGTTAGGGAGTGTCGAGGCTGTTGGAACTTGATGTAGGAACTTAGACACAGCCGGTCTGATTTGCACTTGACAAAATTCTAACAGATCCCCACATGCCTGCTCACATTTGTCACTTGATTTCCCCTACAGCATTCCTTCAAGAACGTGGGTCTGGAAGGATCCTTTAATTTAGTCATTATCGGCAGTGAGATCTGAATCGAGGCAAATGTGCCGTGCTCTCTGTTAAGTAGTTTAGGGCTGTGAACGGAGACTCAAGGGCTGAACTGTACAACAGACTCACCATGCTTACGTGTCACCCACTGCCCACCCCACAGACCAGTCAGAGCGCCAGATCACAGTCACGTGTCACCCACCGCCCACCCATAGACCAGTTAGACCGCCAGATCACAGTCACTCACTCAGAATGAAGCACTCGTTTTAGAGACTGCTCCCTTGCCTCAAGACAGAGAAAGCATAGCCCCTAAAGAGGCAACTAGGCTCAGCCTACCAGGACAACCAGCAATTAGAAATGCATTTATTCAGCACCCACTATGTACAAGGGCATCTGGAACTCAGATGACAAGGGAAATATGTCCTTACTAAAAGACAGGCGATCTCAATTCCATCAAACCAACATTGGTTTGCATTTGGCTTGGTTTGTGCTAAGAGTCCCTTGCTTATTGACTAACTCTGTCCCTGAGTCATTTTACAACCATTACTTTGTTCAACTCTTACCAAACCAGGAGATAAATATCATCTACCCTGCGAGGGGGAGAGACCAAGGTGACTGAGCCTCAGAAGTACAGAACAAACAGGGATTAAATTTATGCCCTCCTGCTGACTTCCAGAACCAGGACAGGGTTATATTCATCTAATTGAACTGTTGGACAAAGGGGCCCCATAGGAATCCCAAATAACCCAGGCTGTTGCCAAGACTATAAATTATTCTCCACAAACTGGTAGCAAGGCCCCATTGCTGCAGGCAATACCTACACAACTCATTGATGTCAAGTCAGTGCCTATATGGAGTCTTCATGCCTGTGTCCCAGCATCTTTGGTGTAATAAAGTGCTCTGCATGCTCTCAAAGGAGACACATACACGCCAAGCCAGCCACAAACCCTTTACGTGTACAGTGACATACAACATGCAAGATAGGCTAGGGCCATGGCGGCACAAAGCTTGTGGGAGTGGCCAACCAATAACCGATTTGACTTAAGGCCCGCTCCACCAGATAGAACCAACTGCTTGGGTTCAATAATCTGATACTAGATAGGCTGGGGACCTAAGTTTAAACCAAATGAAAAAAAGTGTAGTGATAAAACTACTCCTAATGGCTTTCTGCTATGTTCACAGATCAGCCTTGTTCAGCCATTGTCAGAGAAGCTTCCTCTTGCAGCAGATGGGAACAAATCCAGAGACGCAGAGCCAGACATTACACAGAGAGACCTTGGAACAATAAGCCCTTACTGGAATGTCTCCATCAAATTCCTCCACTCAGAGGTCAGGGAACCCCTTCAAAAGAGGAGGTGGGAGGAATGTAAGAGACAGAGGGGGGAAGGTAGACACCAAGAAAACAAGGCC